TCCCTTTTCCAGTCACTTTGCTGACTTCACATGGATGACTGGTGTCTAGGCAACAATGGGGTTACATGAATCAGTTATAAATGGAATATATCTGAGCATATGAGAGGAAGATTTTATCTCCATGCAAACACTGCCTCATGTTAACAGGGGACTCAGAGCATCCAGAAATTTGGGGGCTCACGATATTTGTTCCCATTAATTCTGAGAATTATCTATATATTTGATCCACAACCTAAATCTGAACTTCTGCAATTGTGTTCACTATATTGATTTCTTCTTTTCCCCTTTGGAAATCAAATCTCTCATCATGTCCTGGCCTATCTGGGGACACTCCTTTATCCCAGGATTACAGTCATGAGTCACCATTTTCATTTCACCACATCACTTTTCTCATTGCTGTACCAGATCAATAATGAAATGCCCCAAATCTGCTGTAGGATGAGCCGAGAGAGTTCACGCATACGTCACGACCAGACTGACTGGGAGACTGGTCTTTGAACTGACTGGGTTGAACACCTCACACTGATACTTTCCAGAATTCCTCCTCCTGACACGATCTATTCTGAGTTGGCACTTTGTCCGGGACAGGGTCATCCTTTTTGTGAGATTCAGAGGTCTGTTATTGAAGATCCAACGGATGGAGACTTCAGTATCACTTGTGAGGCAGGAAAGGAACACAGAGCTCTGTTCTGTAACTGTGGTGCTGTTGATTTGGATAAGTGGCTGTGTCACAGGCTCTGTGAAGCAAAAGAGGGGGTGGAAATGACAATAACACTTCAGAGATCTCAAACAGCCCCTCTGTAGTCAATGGACACTTAATCAACCCTCCAGGGTGGAGACTTAATGGCTATTGCAATAGACAGATTTCTTGTGGTTTGGATCTGTTACCCATGGCCTGTGTGGCCCTGATTAATTCTCTGTGTTTCCTGGTCTCTGTTTCCCTTCACCAGTGCACTCAGTGCATGATCATTGTCTGGGCCCTGAATTAAGCTTATATATGAGCAATGGCCCGACCTTGGGATGGGGAGATGCCCAAATCCGCAGCATCTTTTACTATTTGCCTGCAGAAGAGAATTCCCTAGGCTGGACCCATAACGACAAGGAACTCCTGGAGACCTGTCACCTCTGTCGCTCCTCTTGGACAGCCTGGCCTTCCTCTGAAGTCTCCTAAGCCCATAAGAAGAGTTGGCTTAGTCCTGACACCTGTCCACTGAGATTCAGATGTAGAAGATACCCAGGTAACCTAGCTAACTGCAGCCGTCATGGCAGTATACAGTTGGTTCCACACTCTAAGGTCTTGGACAGTTAGTTAAAGCCTTGTTCCAAGTCAGCTCTGACAGATTTTCAAATTCTAGCCCTGGAGACAAGCTCTCCATGACCACCTGAAGCTGAGTCTGGAACAAAGGTCTGGATCCAGGACTTCCTGATTCTCACCTCACTATGAACAAAGCATGGTTTCCCTGATAGGCCATGACTGACTCCCATGAGGTCTTGATCAGGGCCATGTTCATGGTGAGAGCCCCAATATTCTGAGGCTAACTGACATCCTTGGGCAGAGTTACTCAATATACATCCTCTTCTGTAGGTGGTATCATGAAAGGGATTCTGGTCTGTTTTAGTATGTCTACCCAATGTGTGTCCTGCACTAAGTCCTCAAATCCCAATATGGAGAAAGAATGTAGAAAGATTGCAATCAGTCCACAGCAATGAGTCCTGTGTGTAGAAAGGGAAATGAACCCCACCAGAGCCCAGAGGACATAAAGAATCACTTACTGTATATGTGGAGGTACACATGAGTTTCTTGCGATTCAAACTGTGTATTTAAGGTGTTGAAAATGTAGAACCCAGCGTCCTTCTGGATGGTGTTGTGAAGCAACAGGGATCCATTGGGGTACATAGTCACTCTACCGCTGTGTGTGGGTGCC